ACCACGTCCTAGCCATAGTCAAAAAACGACATCCTTAAGTTTCCAAAATCAACAAGTTGTGCAACAACGCATATATCAACAGGAATATGCAAAATAATCAACTATCTACTAAGCACAACCAAATTTGGAAATCTATACACTACATGCTCTAAATCCACAACTAATATGATATGATGAATGTCGAATCTTCAGTGTGCGATTCGTTACACACTATGAATGAAAGATGTTAAACACGAAGTATGCAAATCATTACACAAGGCAACAATATATTCAATAAGGAAAATATATTCTCATGAATACAAACATGGCAACTATGTTATCCAATGTTCAAAACATAACCAAATGAATATACAACAAGTCTAAGTCCATGATTTGAATATAGAAACCACTTATAAAACACAACTAGATCATGGAGCAAATTGATAGAATTTAAATAGATAAACACAATTAAATTCTATAGATTCTGATTCAATTTCAATTAACCTCAATTTAACACATGTTAAAGGACATGGTAAGGTCATCACCTATATCCATTCTAAAACTCAATTAGGTTGTTAGAACAACAAAGTAGAACTTTAATTAAATCATGCTAATTTAAATCCCAAGGTTCTAAAACAACTTCAAATAGTCCCAAATTAATGTATACTAGTAAACAAGTCATGGCCAATACAAACATCAAGTTAAAACCTTAATTAAGCTAATGGGACCACAAAATAGGTTTTAATTAATTCTTTTAATTAAAATCTCTAGATTTTCAAACTTAACCAAATGCTCTCAGTTCAACATATCTTAGAGAACATGCTAAGGACTAATGTAATATCACATTACAAGCTTATTTCACGCAAGTTACACCTATGTAAATTAAACTTTCACTAAAGTTAAATATAAAATAAAGGTTGCAATTCTCATGCAATTAATCCCAATTTAATATATGTGAACAACCATACCAAAGGTTAATTTTCTACCATGCCACAATTCAATTCCAAGTTGTACATCACCATGAGGATTAAATCTTAAACAAGGAAATTAATTAGATGAAAGGTTTCAAAACCTCACCAAATATTCTAAATCAAATATATTTGAAGCTATATGGCATGTAGATCAAGAATATCAAGTTGGAATTCAAATAGAGTGAATAGTGCACTCGGGGCAAATTAATTAATCAAATTAATTAATAATTACTAATTTTCAAAACACCTCCAATTACTTTCAAATTCAACTATGTTGAAGAGCATGCTAAGGCCTAATATAATATGCTAACACAAATTAATTTCAAGCTAGTTAAGGCCATGTGAATTAATCTTTCACCTAAGATAAATATTAAATAAAATCTTTAATACTTATTCAAATGTTCCAATTTTAATACACAACAATGAGCATATCAAGGGGCAATATAAAATCATGCTACATGTTTAAACCAAGTCATGAGCAACCGGAAAAATTAGATCCCGTACAAGAAAAATAAATAATAAAATCTCTAGATTTTATATTTAATCATGCAAACAAGTAGTATAAGCATCACAAGCATGCTATATAACAAGAATTTAAACCTAGAACATCCCCTACCTCAATTTGAGATGAAAATCTCAAAAGCCATCAAAATGGAACGGCTCCGCATCCGACGAAACTACTAGGTTTTGTCGGGGACAACGCCGTGAACATAACCCCCATGAAAGCCCCATCAAAATCATAACTTAACCTCAAAACCGAACTCATGAAATGGTCAAAACTGAATTCTAATAAGGGGGAAAGGTAGAGCACGGCGAGGGGAACAACAAACGTTAAGGCCGAAGACTTTCCATCAAGGAAAATTGAACCAAAAGAGGAGAGAGAAGATGGCCGCACCCCTTGGGCTGCCATGGGAGCTCCAGGTCATGCATGAAGAGGGGAGAAGATGAAAATTAAATATCTCACCCCTTTTATAGAAATCTCAAAAAGTGCCCCGAACGGGCCCCGCCAGGTCCGAAAAAGTAAAATTTGAGTAGACGCGCTCAAATTGCAAAAATTTTTGAATGAAAAAGATTCAAAATGATAAAATATGAACAATGGAAGAAACGGCGTCAAAAACTGAGTTCCGAGCAGAAAGTTATGCCCAAAACAAGTTTGGTGAAAACCGGGGCTAGAAACCCTGAAACTGGAAAACATCGACCAGGAGGAAATTCCAAGAGTACACAACTCAACAAAATATAAAAATGAATTCCATACGAGGATTCAGGCTCAAAATAAGACATTTTGCAATAACTTTCATTAATTGCACAATGGCCCCTCTAAAAAGTGAAAACTGCACTTATGGCCCAGAATGAAAATATCTTCCAAAAATATTTTCTTAAAAACCCTTGAAATAAAATATCTTCAAAAGATATTTACAAAAAATACCCAAAGAAAAGAAAATAATTTCAAAGAACTTTGCATCCATGCCCCTATGGACACCGGGAGCAACCAGAGTGCTTTCTTGCAAAAATAAAGATACGTATTTCGTGAAAACCACTCAAGATGAAGGCACGTGAAGTCAAAAACCAACTCGGAGCATGAGAAGTGAGGTTGTGCCAAAAACTGACAAACGGAGATAAGACAGAATAGGGAAAAAGACGAAATAGTGCATAGTGTCAAAAAACGAAAAATGTGAAAATGACTCGGTCCTCAAAGGAAGTTGTCAATCCATGGAAAAGAGTCTCAGGAACCAATTCCGAGCACTTGAGATGACACTAAGCGACACGAAACAGGGCTCAGAAAAGAAAATTAAACGAAAAAAATTCATTCGTAAAATTTCAGGAAAAAAGGAAAGGAAGGCAAATGACCGGGTCGTTACACAAACAGTACTCCCTTCTTAGTTAGATGGGTGAGTGGTCCTGCTATCTTTGAAAAACCCTGGATGAATCTGTGATAATATCCTGCCAATCTCAGAAAGCTACGAATCTCAGTGGGTGAGGTAAGTTGTCCCCACTCTAAGATTGCTGAGACCGTGGCTGGATCCACCGCTATTCCCTTCTCAAACACCCTGTGACACAGAAACATCACTTCTTGTTGCCAAAAGTCACACTTTTCAAACTTGGCATATAAGTGATGCTCACGAAATGTCTGCAACACTATGCAAAGATGTCTAGAAAGATCTTCCTCAGACTTAGAATAAACTAGAATATCATCAACGAAAATAATGACGAACTGATCTAAGTAAGCCCTGAAGACCATGTTCATCAAGTCCATAAAGACAGCTGGCATATTAGTCAACCCAAAAGGTATGACTCGAAATTCATAAGATCCATATCTAGTGAGAAATGTTGTCCTAGGAACATCCTGCTCCCTAACCCAAAGCTGATGATAGCCTGATCGCAAATCAATCTTGGAGAAGTAAGTAGCTCCCTTTAACTAATTAAATAAGTCATCGATCCTAGGCAAGGGATACTTGTTACGAATAATAACCTTCTTTAACTCCTTGTAATCTACACACAGGCGAAGTGAACCATCCTTTTTCTTCACAAACAACACTGGTGCTACCCAAGGTGAAGTACTTCTACGAATGAAACCCTGGCTGAGAAGTTGTTGAATTTGATCCTTCAGCTCCCGCATTTCTATCGGTGCTATCCGGTATGGTGCCCTAGAAATAGGTGTAGTACCTGGAGCTAGATCAATTACGAAGTCTATCTCTCGACTCGGTGGCAACCCTGGAATATCTTGAAATACATTTGGAAATTTCTGTACAATCGATATACTATCCAGTGCTGCAGTAATCTCCTCCTCAGACTCCTCCTCAATATACAATATATGAGTGCTTGATCCCCCGTTAGAACGTGGCATAGTAGTTATATGCATATCCTAACCCGGTATAGCAAACACAATAGACTTATCATGACAATTAACCTAACCATGGTAGTGAGATAACCAATCCATCCCAGTATCACATCATAAGAATGCATGTCCAAGACCAATAGGTTAGATAGAAATCTAAGTCTACTAATATCTAGTGTCACAGGCTCATCACTCTCATGTAAAATAGAAGTAACACCTATAGGTGTACCAATACTACGAGGTCGATCACATAACTGTGTAGTCATCTCAGATAAGGCAACAAATGAACTAGACACAAATGAATGTGTAGCACCCGTATCAAACAAAACACGCCCATATCTACCATCTATAGGAAACATACCCTCAATAGCCTGAGGAGTCTGAACGTCCTGTGGCATGTGGTTATATACTCTGCCATAATGCAACTGTAGCACTGCCTGTCCCCGTGGTGGCGGTGACGCCGATAAATCTGGGAACGCCTGTCCCTGATGAGACATTCTCACATCGATGGAGCCTAAGAACTTAGGTGGGCTCCCCTTTGTGAAAAAAAAAAAAAAAAAAACTCCTAGCATTCTCCTAAGGATTAGCCTAAACTACCGGTACTGGTACAGGTGCCTGATAAACCTGTGGTTGATTCTGTAGTGTAGCTGTTACGCCTGCTACTACAGCCTGAGTAATGACGTCAGCTAACTGAGGAGGATAATCTAGACCTCTGCCCTGATGTTGGTCCAGACCCTAAGACTCCTAAGTCTGTTGTTCCTCCTCCTGAATTATAGGAACCTGTTTCTCCTCCTCTTGAAACAAAGGCAATTGTTGCTCCTCTGCAATCCGTTGACATCGTAGGAGATTCTGCTGCCTACATGCCGCTCTCCTTTGTTGCCTTGTTCTCCTGACCTACTCTATTTCCTGTCTTCTTCCAGTGTTAACCATTCAGTTAACACTGAATGATAGACGTCAATATGTATCTAACGGATCGTAAAGGAATACAATGAACCCTAAAACTTAGGCACAAATCAAAAGAATACGCTTCGCGAATGTCTTAAAATGAACAAAACCCTAGAGACACTTGAACCTGGAGTGCTCTAATACTAACTGTAATATCCCCTAATTTCGGAACACGGGTTGATCAAGTCCGCTCACAAAATCAGGGGATATCAGCCAATCAACAATAAACAAGCACAAAATACAAGAGGAATAAAAATTAAATAAATAAATAACGTTGTAAGGGAAATCTAAATTAATAATTAAATAATAAATCCTCCAATACATTAATCTCCAATAAATTCTCATTATAAGAATAAAACCTCCAGAGTACAACTTGGGAATCCATACAATGTGGACCCCTAATAAAAATCCAAACTAAAGACGAAATAAATAAATGTCTAACTCAAAAATAATAAATAATAACGAAAACATAGTGGAGGTAGTACGTCTATGACACTGGAAGAGTGATGAAGTCTGGCCTCTGCTCTGCACGAACTGAGTCTACGTCTGGAACTGTCGAGGACCTGAATAGATAACAACAAAGGTGGGTCAAAACCTACGAACAAGCCCTTTCTACTACATCCCAAACAGAGAACCGATAAATGATATATCCTAGTCCGACTCATGCAATAACTACGTAGGTCAATATACATAAGTACACACTATAGACTTTCACTGGATCATAAGACAGCCTCAACCAAATAGTAAGTCTCATGCAAGCGCACACAAGGTGGTCATGAATACCTCTTCTACCAGTGCACACACATCCCTATAACCAACTACTCATCTCATCTGGCAATAAACGCCAACCCTAACCATCGATCCTCAGATCTCAAGCTCGTATCATGGTACACTCTCAAAATATACATATGTAAGTAATTATAGCCATATCTTGACAATGGCACAATCTAAAGTCATAACTATATCCTGACAATAGTATAACAAAATGTATGAGTCTAGGCTTATTAGCCAGCCCATGTATGTATCAGCAAGCTATATCCTAACAATGGTGCTGCTAAGACCATATCTTGACAATGGTCCTCCATTATACACGTATATGCAATTATGTATTCTTAAAATTCACATACATTATTAAGAGAATTTATCTGAGTATTTTATAGAGTGGTATAGACTTTTATACCAATCATGCAATTAACTTATAATGTAAGTAAAATTATTTATGTCAACTCATGCATGATCAATTATCACAATAATGGCTATAGAAATAAATATAACAATACGGACTATTAAAAATAGCATACTATTGATTTAAAATGTAGGTAAAGCCATGTACCTTTGCATGACTGATTCACATCTATAAAAAGGTAACCATTAATAGACACTTTAAATCCATACTTGTAATTCAAATAAGTTTCCTTATATTATTTTTACTTTTATTTTATTTTTATTTTATTTTTTTTATTATAGTAGTTGGTATTGAAGGAAACCATAATAATCAACCCAAAGTGACTCAATGACTACTTTCAATTTGATCACAACTTGATAACCAAGTTTGCCCACACGTTATATATAAAATAAAAATAACGGCCAATATATATATATAGATATATATATATATATATATATATATATCTCCATTCACCCCAAATCAAGATGTGTCGCCTTTGAAATTTCGCAACACCCACTGAACCCATCCCTGCTATATGTATTAGATCGTAATTTAATAACCAAATAAACCACCAATATATATATATATATATATATATATATATATATATATATATATATATATATGTCAAATTACCCCAAACCAAGTAGTGAGCATCTGCAATTTTGCCAAAGAAAAGAAGAATTCAAAGAACTTAAATTCCCAGCCATGAGTACTGAAAAAAAAAATCGCTAAGCCCAATCAAAATAAATAAAGAAACAAGAATAACTAAATAAATAATTAAAACAACAATACCCAACAATCCCGCTTACGCATTAAAATCCAAAATAACAACTATATATACATGATTTTATACACATGAATTTCACGCTATTATGATCCGATTTAGTCATGCAGTTAAAAATTTCTCTTTTTTATTATTTTTAATTACATCCTATAATTATCCTAGATATATATCGCATATAAAGTCTAAGGAAATGAATAGAAGAAGACTTACCTTTAAGGCTCCGGATCGAAGCCCACGCCGTTCTCCAATTTCCACTTCTCTCTTTCTTTTTTCTTTCTTTTTTTCTCTCTTTCTTCCTCTCTTTCTCTCGCCGCCGCCACTCGCTGTTCTTTCCTTTTTCTCCCGTAACCCCCAGTTCTGCTAGAACATAACCTGTATATGTATATAATGTGATTAAACTAACCTATTTCTAACCTATACACTAACAGGCCCACCATAACACAACTAATCACAACTAACCAATAAGAACTAATCCTAATAACAACTAAACTTACACGGCAACAAATGACATGGCTCTGTCATTTAATGGTTAAATAAATAGTCATTATATAGTTAATAATATAATAACTAAATAATACAACTAACAGATTATAAACCTTTATACGTTAACACACACACACACATATATATATATATCATTAATATAATTTATATTTATATATTTATAATATACTAAATATATATATAACACTTTAATATAGATTTATATATATATATTTTTATCTATCCATCCATACAACTAACTAAAAAATATATATATAAAATAACAGTAATAAAAAAATACAATTAACTAAAGAATTTTTACTAAATAATTAACATTTAAAATAACAAATCGATAAACACTCCACAAACAATTCACATAGCCAAGCAAATAAAAATAAAATAAAATAAACACGAAATACCTAACATTTAAATGATAAACAAATAAAATCTTAAAACAAATAATTAACATTTAAATGACAAATAAATAAAACCCTAAAATAAATGCACAACTAATTCAATTAGCCACATAGATAACTAAAATGAAATCAAATTAAAAAAATAAAACCTTGAAAAATTTAGGGGTATTACAAGAAAGACTAAAATACACACCTTAAAACCCCTGAGTCATAACTAAAGAAGAGGGAAAACGAGAAACGGGACCATGGGATTTGACAACATTATCAATACACATACAATTCTATAGTTTTACAAATAATGCATATGATATGCAAATGCAAAGCCATCTTTTTCATTTCTAACCCAAACATTCGTCTGTGAGTTGTACGTAGCAGAATATTTAGAAAGTTTTGTATTTTTAGAAACAGATCTGTGTTTTTCCAACTTTACTTGTTTTAGCAATTAAATAATTAATCTCATGTAAGATAAAATAAAGCAAAGTAAAGAGTAAGAGATGACCCCAGGATTTTTAGCTAGGAAACCCCAGTTGCTAATATATGTCTACTATTTACGCGGGGAAAACCTCGTAGACTATGCAGTTTAAAGTAAACCGATCCAGTATGTTTGAAAGAAAGTACAATAAACTTTGACTCTGACTCACACCCTATCAATCTACCAAATACCAATAGCTGACAATCCTCTAGCTTTGCAACATCCCGTCTAACAGCAACTTGACCTCAGACTTATGCTTGATCTTTGTAGAAGAGTTGGAGGTAGATCAAACAACACTCCTCGAATGCTTTGACCATTTCAAAGTGTGATCGCTTTTACTTCTGTTCTTCAATATCTGAATTTGATGTAAAAGTAGATCTAATTTTCTCTGATCGTTGTAGATTCGACTGTATGATCACAATCAGGATTTAAACAACACTCTCAAGTCACTTTTGTATTTATGTGTATGTTATAGAAAGACTGACAGAGAAAACTCTTGCATTTTCTGCAAATAGAATCTTCCTAAGGCTTTTATGAATAATGAATTGATACTGCAAAAGTCATTCTAAACCTAGATGTGTATCAGGGTTTATATAGAATTTTTAGAGATCTAATCCTTTAGAAAATAAAGGAAATTTCATGCATAGGACATTTGGTAACATTCTAAACCAAATAGGAAGTTTAAAACTGATCAGGACAAAGTTACCTAAATCTGAAACAGCAGTAGTATCGCTAGCCAACTGTGGAACCAGTTCCCAAAGGACATAATAGATTTATTCGAATCTAAGTTTCTTGAACCGGTTCCTGATGAGCGTTTAATGTTGCATATTCGAGCCCCTAAATACACATATGTTAAGACCTTAAGTGATACTTCTATCCAGTTTTAGACTAATTTATGTTTATTTTGTGTTTGTAGGTACTTTCCTAAAGAAACGGTTAAAACCGGGACTTTAAGATGAAAAGACTAATATCAAAACTTACAGAATTTGCATTTGAATTTTGATCGGTGAACTGGAGTTGTCAAGGGGTATGCACTCATTGAATATGAGACCATTAGAGTTGCATAGAGTCGTTGTCAGTCATTCAAAACAAGCCGAGTGTCAAAATGATGAAAATTAGAAGAATTCAAGTACCAAGGCTTAAGCCTCAGTTCTCTAGTTCGAGCACAACAGAAAGAAATAAGAAAATCCATTAAGGCAGTAAAGCTCGAGCTTTGATCTCCAGAGATCGAGCCCAACCTCAGGGTGCTCGAGCCTTTGCCTAAGAGCTTAAGCACATTAGGTGTCAAAATGTGAAAAGTTATTTCAGAAGAACCAAGCTCCTAGGACCTCGTGCAAAGACTCAAGGGATCAAACCCACAGCCAAAGAGTTTGAACCCATAACCAAAAAGCTCTAGCCCAAGACCTAGGGCTCGAGCACCATGAAAGAAGGATCGAGCACTGTTAAAAGAAGAAATCCAAAAATATTCTTGAATCTTTTTCATTTACAGAGTTTTGTCGTTTGAGCGCGTCTGCTCAAATTTCACTTTTTCGGATCCGGCGGGGACCTTTCGAGGCACTTTTTGAGATTTTCTATAAATAGGGGACTTAAAGTTGAAAAATCAGATCTCACACTCTCTCTCCCCTCTCTTGGCTAGATTCCATGGCAGCCATGGGCTGCCACCACCTCTCTCCTCCTTTAATGTTTTTCCCTCGTGTAAAACATCGCAATGCCTTCGTGTTTTGTGTTCGCCATGACGTGCGCATCTTTCACCCTTATTAGAACCCATTTCTGACCAAATTTTGAGTTCGGGTTTGAGGTCAACTTGTGATTTTCATGGGGCTTCTTGGGGGTTATTGTTCACGGCGTTGTCCCCGACAAAACCCCAAAGTATCGTCGGATTCAGAGCCGTTTCATTTTGGTGGCTTTTGAGACTTTCATCTCAAATTGAGGTAGGGGATGTTTTAGGATTTTGTATGTGTTGTATTGAGTGTTCTCCATGATTATACAACTTATTTGCATGCTTTGTATCAAATCTAGAAGAATTAGTATTATTTATTTCTTTATATGAGATTGAAATTACAAGGATGTATATAGTTTAGATTTGATTTGTGGCATGATGATAAATTAGGCTTTAATATGTTTGTTAACATATATTAAATTGGGATTATTTGAATAAGAATTGCACTTTTTATTTAATATTTTTCTTTTGTGAAAGATTAATTCCCATGGTTGTACCTTGCATGAAATGAACTTGTAATATGCTTTTAAATTAAGTCTTGGCATGTTGTTTAACATACTTTAATTTGAGAGCATTTGGTTAAGTATGAAAATCTAAAGATTTTAATTAATAGGATTAATTAAAATCTATTTAAGGGTTCCATTGGCCTAATTGAGATTTTGAATGAATATATGTAATGACCATGCTATGTCCATTAATATATATTAATTTGAGGTCATTTGGAAATGATTTGAAATGTAGAGAATTTAATCATTTTTAATTGATTAAATTCTATCTCGTTGTTCCATGGATCTAATTATGTCTTAGAAGTTGTTTGTATGTTTAGATCATGGATTTGGACCTGTTACGTATTCACGTGATTATGCCTTAAGCATTGAGTAACATTGTTGTTAAATTTACATTCATGATTTTATGTTTTTAATATTGAATTATATTGTTATAACGTGTAACGAATCGCACACTGAAGATTCGACATGTGATGTTGTTATAGCGCGTAACGAATCGCACTCTGAAGATTCGACATTGTCATCCTATAGTAGTTGTAGATTTAGAGCATGTATTGTATGGTTTCAACCTACTTGTGCATGGAAGGTAGTTTCGTGCATTATATAAATTGCGTATAAGTTGTAAACTTATCTATTTATTTTGGAACCACTTAGGACATTGCATGATGGCTAGGGTTTGGCTCTAGTACGGGGACAAGACTCTTCTAAGTCAAAAGTTCGCGCGTTGGGTAGGCTGCATAGCGGTTAGTAGCTCCAAATTAGCCAAGTAAAGTTTGCGCATTGGGTAGGCTACCTGGGGGTTAGTAGCTCCAAATTAGCCCTGTATCGGTTTTATCCGACTGATGTCCAAGACTTCCACTATTTGTTTTCGCATTCAATTCTAAGTTGACAACCAATGCTTAATTGTGACTTGTGGTTTTGGTTATTGGCAATTTAATGTTGTTAAGTACATTCATGTTTTATGATTTTTAATGGATCATTATAAATTTTGATGTTGCTAAGTACATCTATGCTTTATTATTCAAATGTAACTTAGGGATGATCCTATAGATTCATTTGGAACATAAACATTAGGTGGCATGACCCACTTTGATTGTTTTCGCACTTTAGATTTCAAGTTGATGACTTTGAGAATCTATATCTAATTACTTTGTATAACATGCTTCTATGATGGTTAAATTGCATAGATATTGTGATTTGTCTTTTGTTGTTCAAATGTAGCTTAGAAATGATCCTATAGATTCATTTGGAATATAGACGTTAGGTAGCACGACCACTTTTGTCGTTTTCGTATTTTAGATTTCAAGTTGATGACTTTAAGAATCTATATCTTGTTGCTTTGTATAGCATGTTTCTATGTGGTTGTTGCATGGATGATGTGATTGATGCTAGAAATGATCTAGGGTAGCTTAGGATGCTCCCTGAGTCTCATCTTGACATAGACGTTAGGTGGCATGAGCCCTTTTGCATGTTTCACCTTAAGGTGATAAAATTGTAAAACGTAGGTCGATGCATGCTCATTTCCTACGAGTAGCTTTATGTTGCTCACCCCAAAGTTACTGGGGTACATTTCAGGTACAGGATACAAGATTGGGGATTTGCACTTGCTTTGGGTGAATTGCAGAATGAAAGTTTCTTTAGAGGCATTCTTGTTCACATGCAAGTGTTAGCATGTTTAAGTTTTGCCTATAAAATGTAATTTTTCTAACTTGGAGGTTTGACATGTCAGATGTTGTAAATGAATTGTAATAAGACCATAGGCCATTTCAGCATGTTTAAAATGTTATTTTACACTTGCGTGTATGTTCACATCATCACACACTTATATACAATTCAATTTGATCATGCAATGGGGGATCCAATTGAGCCTTAGG